CTGCTCCTATTTACAGTATCTGCCATACCAGGCCAGTTGCCAGCAACTGTATACATTCTGGCTCGCAAACACTAGAGAGTAGAAGTACAGTTCAGGGCTCAGGGTTCCATTTTGGGGCGTCTCTCTGACGGATATGGAGATGAGTCAGGGTTCCGTTCCTCTCCTCGGACCTTACTGGTTTTGGTTTGGGGCCTGCTTTTTCGGGTGGCTATTGCCCTGCATACTATCTGAGTTATAAAAGGCTTACCTACAGCTTCCGCGTTGAGGACAGCAACCAGAGCATCAACCTAAACAAAAGCATAGCTCACCTAGGAGCCTCACTCGACGTTTTGGTGGAGACTAAGACTCCCAATTCCTAAATTATTTTTTGCATCCAGGGCTGCCGGGGATTGCTAAAATCCAGAACCTGAAAACCCCGAGCAGAGGATCCTATATAGAATAGGGTTTTGGGGCCCACGATACTACAACCATAATAAGGAGCCCCCAAAATATTTTGGGGCCCATTATACTACAACTATAATAATAAGGAGCCCCCAAAATAACCTCCAAAATAATATAGGTAAGTATTAAGGCACCTAAATTACAGGACTTGTGGTCAAGGCCCAGCTCATTCCGGCGGCGCTTTGGCCTGAGACCAGACAGGTCGGGCGTTCTTTCCTCCAAGTTGGGAGTGCCAGGCGCTGCTATTTCGTCAAGGGTGTTGTAGGCTACTAGCTTACAGCAGACGCCCAAGAGTTGGAAACCCAATAGCCTCAATCCTTAAGAGTGGTACAGAAGGAATCCCAGCACCAATTCTCCTTAATCCGGTTTCCAACTTTTTTGGGGTCTACTATAAGGTCACCACTACGACGACGACGACGACGACGACTACTACTACTACAAGGACTACCACTACCACTACGACAACGACGACGACGACTACTACTGCTACTAGGGGGCGGTTTCGAGTTCAGAGTTGTTGGGTGTAGGGATTCTAGCTCGAGCTCTTCGACTTCGGACTGCTTCGTATCAGCCTATGGTAGAGGAGTCTTAGAGGAGCCTTAATATTTAGAATGGGGTTTGGGGGTAGATTTAAACTAAATCATTAATTTTGTTCCCTCGCGCATTGCTTGGAAGTCTATGAACTCAGTATAATAAGGAGCTAGGTGTCTGGTGGTCGGCGCTTTCTCATCATGCGTAGATCTACGCGACCATGTGGTCGTGCTTCGAGTTGCGGTTGTTGGGCTCTGTGGCTCAGAGTCCTTTATGTTTCCGTCTTCGGCTTCCGTTCGGGGATTCTGCTCGGGCGCTTGCCCTAAACACTCTAAGCCTGGAATCACAAAACCGTGGAGAATACACGCTACAACCCAACAGGTGCAAGACCCAAAATCCCAAATTCTGAGGCCCAAACCTTAAGGCCCTGCATCCTACACCCCCAAACTTGAAGGAGCCACCTCAAAGGGATGGTGCATTATAGCATAGTATGTTATGGCATGTGACGGTACATTATAAGACATTATTATATAGTGGTATCATAGTAGTAAACGCCGAGACTCTTCCGGAAAAGTGAATCTCGGTGAATGCTCCACAGGAATGCGGAATTCACGGTATGCGATCGCCTGGGGTCAGGTTCTAGGGCTTCATGCATTTTGGTGAGTTCTTCTGTTTGAGCTTGTGGGAAGTATGGGGGTTTCCGCAGCACTGCCCCGGACGAAGGAGAGCGGAAGGCGCATGCTGAGACGTTTGGACACTTTATAAATGATTGCGGCTCCAATATTTCCTGCTTATCTCACAGCGGGAGACTTTAATGCTGCCAGCTGAGAATTGTACACGTCATGCCTCCAATGTAAAGCCGTGTATTCTTCCACAGACCCCGGTGCAAACCGGACAGATGAGCACGTTCTGAGGATGGTGGTGGAAGGTGCCACGTTTGGGCTCGAACTAAGGGGCAACTGAAAACAGCACCTGAAGCCCTAAGTCATATATCAATAGTACATCAATCCGGGCTGATGGCTCGTGGCCAAGGTCCGGAATTCCTTTGAACGCTTCTATGGGTGAGAGGCTTGAACGGGTCACATGGTTTGGATCTGGCTTCAAGGCACGGCTGATTTCGTAACACTACTTCAGAATGATGGAGGCCCAAATAGCATCAAAACTAAGCAGCAGTAGCCAAGACACAAAAGAGCATGCAACCAATTGCAAACTTACCAGGGTATGCGCGTTTGTCGTCTCCGTCTCCCTCGCTCTCGCTCCCCCTCTCTTCCTCGAGCTCTCTGTCTTGTCTTTTTGTTTCTATCTCTCTCTCTCTCTCTCTCTCTCGCTCTCTCTCCGTCAAGAAAAGATCCACATCAGTATTTGTATAGGCTTACTTGTCATAAACGTGACCGTGCGTGCAGGCGTGCCTCTAAGCTGGTGCGCATGCGTGCATGTCTTTTGAAATGGACGGGGCCATGTCCATTTTCAATCAGGCATGCGCCAGCTCAGGCATTGATGCTGGCTAACGAATTAAAAGCTGGAACCTTTCCATGTCGGGATCATTTGGTCACACGCAAACAAAGGGTGGAAGCAGTCCCCGCTACAAGTCCACCAGTCTCAAAACGAAAGTCCTCCATCAATGGCCGAACTCAACGTTGGCAATGTTTTAAGCATGGCCAACAGCAAATCATAGCCTGGGGCATGAGCTCCGACCAAGTCAACAACACACAGCGCGAAATTGGAGTGACGATGAAGTCTTAAACCCTGAACTCTAAGTAGGCTTCCGGAGGGAAATACTGCCCATCGCAATCCAAGTCACAGCATACACAATGTTGAACAGAAGGCAAACGCCAGTAAACACGGCAGCCGCCTGAGACTTTGGTGTTTAGAGCTTCGTCTCGCAGGCTTGGGGAATAAGAGATGTGAAATTTGGGGTTTACGGGTTAGGGTTTAGGATCTTGAAGGCTTCATGTGTAGCGTTTCCACAATCTATATAGGCATGCAATAAAGAAACCTGCACTGCTAGTCGTTGCAGCTCGTATGGTAATTTAAGTACACACAGAAGCCACAGAAACAATGCCTGTCTGAACCTGTGGGGCTGCGCAGAAAGCTCAGCGGCTTAGCGAGATGGGGTGTCGACTCGGGCACAGCCCATCTTACTACCCCTACCCCAGATAAGCGGGAAGCAATTTGCCAAGGGGCACGGAGCTGCTGCAGCAACTCCTTCTCAAAGGTGAGGCCACAGCACGCATGTCAGCAAATTCCCTCTAGGAGTTACGACGCGGGTATACCGAGTTTGCAGGCCCTGGGTCGCAATTCCTCTTTAAACAAAGCCCACAGCCACGGAATGCCATCCAGCCTTGTTTTCGCTGCTTCGACCCTTGTTGCGGAGGGGAAGTTGAAACTATGCTATGGCATCGGATGGGCCAGGTCTGACAACAGCCACATCAGGAAAAACGTGCTCTGTCTTCTTGACAGGTGGCAAAAACCCATGGTGAGAAAAATCCCCGATGCCAGATGTGTAGAAGCCCTCTACTGTCAACCTGAACCTCGACCGTCGCTGCTTGAGCGGCAGACCGAAAGACCTGAACTCGAAATTTACAACTAGATTATAACATACTGTAGAATATTACAGCATACTACTGCGCGTTGCACTTTACTGTATACCCCTGACTCTGTCAGCTGTCTCCTCGGGCAGGAGAACGATCAACAAAGCCGCAGCCGAAAGGAACAAGAAGCTGACCTCAACTTTGAGAAGCGGTTGCTAAGATTCTCAGCGATACGCTTATATATATATATATATATATATGTAATGTACTACTTAGTTTTAGGCTGCATCACATGAGGTGCCCACCCGGCCACCAAGGCTAGGCTCTTTGGGGATTCAATGTCCCATTCTGTCTCGTTTGCAATCTTGAACGTGCGCAACTGGCGCCTCTGCCCATCAATGCCGCTTTCGATATCTCGAAGCCCTATACCCCAAAACGCCAAGCACTAAATCCTCAGCCATCTTTACCCCGCTTCCTCCAGTCTCCTGCCAATCCGGGTACGGCTGGGGTTAGCATCCCGCCTGACCCTGACTTGACTGAGCCGGGTTTCCACAGCTTCTACCGCTCCCATGACTATTAAACTGTTGGTTTAGGATTTATGGCTCAGGGTTTAGGGTTACGACCAGGATAGCTACCAGTAAGCAAGGGCTAAATGCAAACGGCGTGAACGAAAAGCCCGGCCACGCCTGGGTTCTGGTGCGCAAGCACTCGGGTTTTTTTCCCTTAAGCACTCGGGTTTAGGGTTTAGGGGCTATTGTTTCCGGTTGCTGACATCAGCGGTTACATGTAGATGTCGCTTGGGGCTCATGACAGGACCATTTTACAGGAAGTTCTCAGAGAGCCCTAGAATGCAAGAGTCGGTCGCGGCAAAGGTGCAGCGATGTAGGTGTCAAGCATGGTGAGGTAACCCAGCTTCGGCACACTCTCCTTAGCTGCTGCACCTAAGCCCCTAAGGCCGTCGCCAGTCAGTGTATCGTGATTAAATTAACTATTTGGGGAGAATCTGCACTTGGGCTCCCGACAGGGCATATGGGAGCTTCGTAGCATCAGAAATGTTACACTCCCGTAACAGCCCCTGAGCCAACCACTTGAAGTGCAAGTTAATGTAAGCACCTTACTAAACTCACTGAGTACTTCGGGGCGAAAGAACATGAACTCCATAAAGTCAGGATCCGACTATGCAGTGTCTCTCCCCAGACTCGAATTTTTGGTGAAGCTTCCGTATAAACTCTACATCCGAACATGTGATACTAAGCAAGAACATTGCCAGAGCACGCGTAACTTTGACGGAGTAACAGAGGCTTCGGTGTTTGGGGTTCTAGCATTCTAGAAACCCTATCTGAACTGAACCCTATCATCCCCGATCCCGCGATGATGCCGCTCCCGAAGAACCATAGCGTCCCTACTATGACTACTACGGCGTCCGAGGCCGCAGCCGGAGACGACCGACAGCGAGTGTGAGGCATAACTAGAACCAACAAGCGATTTCCTCGCACATCAAGATCCGAAGATGTTCACCTGACGGCTAAGGTGATGGAATGCAAAGCAGAACATAGGCAATGGCTCAGCGTAGGAGAACTTCATGGCGACCATGGTCAGCATCAGTCCAGCGACGAGGGACAACGGAGACTCGCCTTCAAAAAGCAATGAGGCTAGAGAGACGCCCGTAGTCTCTAGGTTTTAAAAATGTTGGTTCGCAGGGCTTGGGGGTCAAATCGAAGCCAGCAAACCCAACCTGGCTATTGTGGTGCATCACTCGAAAAGCTTTAGTTCATAGGGTTTGGTGACAAATCGGACCCAGCAAAATCGACCTGGTTTGTGGCATCGCTCGAATTCCATTTTGTTGACGCAAGCTCATGTCATGCACACGAACCGCTGACGATCGGTCAGCCGCCGATATACACACACACACATATATATATATAGACATGTACATACATGTTGAAACACAAACAGACAACATACGCACACTCACATATAGATTGTACATGTAGACACAAAACCTGGGCCTGTAATTGTTTGTGGGGTGATTCGGGGTCTGCGGCTTTTTTGAAGTAAGTCACTGGCTGCCTGCAGTCTCAGAACAATGTGCGACAAGTCTGCCGGAACTTCTTTCCATTGCGACTCCAGAATGGGGCATAACCACCCTCAAACTTGAACCCTGACCGTTTACAGTAATCTAAAACCCTGGGCCTGCCTCCCAAGACGATGCCATTAGGTACTTCACCCGACGCGATGAGGATTGCACCTCGAACAGGTCTCACAGCACTTGTCCCCTTCACAGGGTTTTGCCGATGTAGTGGGTAGCAACTTCGAGCTTGCACCGTTCCGGTTTGAGGGTTCCGGGTGATTGGAAACCTAACTCCACCTCCTACCTTGCTTCAGCTGCTGGGGTTCCACCATGCTGAAGAAGCTGCTTTGGCACAAGGGCTGTAGGGTTCAAGGGTTCAGAGCGGATCCAAGAGCTGATGGTTGATAGGCTGCTTCCGAACCTCACACACTCATCGGGTTGCGGGATGTTGCGGGTTTCTGGTCTGAGATGTATCAGGGCCTAGGGTGGGGATTACATGTTTAGTGTAAAACCCAACTTCCTGAACACACTTAATCTTCCTTGACCCCACATGCCCCCCACCCCTAGCGGCCTACACTATACTTTGCATAAGTCGTTTTTGTCATAATCTAAGAAAACGCAAGGAAGAGACACGAGACACATGTTGGTGGTTTATGCACAAGACTGAGAATGGCAACATGTTGAACGTATTGAAGCGGCAGAACCGACATTAGCTAGTCAGCTAGTCAGCTAAAAACACAATTCATGCATATCCCTGGTTTCAGTTAAATGCACGAACCCGCCCTTCGCTTGTTCCGTGTATGTGAAATAAAGCAGCAATGTACGAAGAATCCAGCGCATTACTTTGAGTTTTCTTTCGTCTCATTTTCTGGGTCATTTCCTATGGCTTCCAGGCGACGGCAATCTGTGGTTGTGGGGTGCTTAGCTGAAATAGGACAAGCCCTGACGGTGTCAATGACACCGAAGATGAACGAGAAGTGGATGGCCCCTTTGAAAGCCTATGCTTGGAACTCGCTTCTTCGGGAAGACCCGTTATTGCACGCTTATGATGGATGCAAGAGTTCTGTGCACACAGCCAGCAGTTAATCAGATTTTGATTTCGAGCATCAGGAAACTACCTATCTTCGTAAAGGGCATGTGACTGGCGCCCATGAAGGTGACCACCGCAGTGGGGAACAGCAAAGCTACGATGAAGTAGAATGGCTTCCGGCGGACCTGAGTCGTTCTTGGCCTTACACGGTGGACCTACGTAATAAAGGGACCCTGGTAACCACAGCCGAGCATGCTAGCATAATTATTATTTGTCTCTCAAATAATCCTGCCGCAGAAATGCCACCCTACAAGCTGGCCTACAGGAATCCTTTTGCTGCACAGTAGAAAACCCTGCCTCGAGAAGCAACCTTAAATCATGGGGCACTCATCAGACCCGAAGTTTCTCGACGTACGGGACGGGCCCTCGACCAATCGGTTCAACAAACTTCCAAGGGAGCACCGCGACCATTCGGAAAAGTCCCGGACATGCTTCAGCGAGTAAGACTGCAGAGCTAGGTGCTAAGCCCTGTCGTGCAGTTCCGACTGCGGCGTTGCACAGTTGCTTGTGCTCTGAAATCGGGATGAGGGCTAAGTTTAGGCTTCGAGGATTTGATGGTTGTGAAGCCTTTAGGACCGAGACCAGGTAGAGTCTTGCATATGCCACACACTATTTATCACCATTTCAAAGTCAACACTGCCATATCCCAAACCCCCGAACCCTAAACCCCACCACAACCCAGAACCTTGAACCATACAGCCTGCTGGAAGCTACGATCCTAAACACTATAGACTCCACAAGGACCGTACCAAAGCACGCCGGTACTAAACATGTCGTGCCATAGGATGCTAACCCTAAAACGAAAACCTAAGCCCTGCTATAACCTATAAGATGCTGACCCTGAACCCCATACTAAGACCACAAGCTAAAAGACCCAATCCTTAAACCCGAATAAGCCCTTCACTTTGCCAGACGGTAAGCCATAAGATGCTATAAGTTCGTATACCCTGAACCCTCGTCTACAGCGAGACTCTAGGACTATAAGCTGTTTTAAGCAAGGACTTCGTGCCGGAGGACCCAAAACCGGCCGTAGAACATCAACTCTCCAGTCCGAGCTCGGTTGGGGACCACGTTGCTTTCCTGGGTTTCTTCGGGCTCAGCACTTTAGAGCTCAGGGATGGTTCAGGGTTTCGGCCTTAAGCAGAGAAGAATGCACAATGATGCACCAAACAAGTGGGAGCGGTGGCTTCGAAATTTCAGTCTTTGGGATGCAGTTTCTAGCTTTGGCGCGAGACAACGCAGGCCTTGCAGGTGAATTTCGACACGCACACTCGCACGAGGCAGGCACGGCTTGATGAGGGTCCAACTTGCTCTTGCGGGCAAGGACTGTGATAGGGCTGCGAACAAGGGGTAAATGCAGAGGACACAAGTCAAATGAAGTAAGGCACTGTTCAGAATGTTCAAAACGTCCCGGCTTTCACGTCTTTTCGAAGCCCTCCCATCTTCAATCTAATCAAAGCAACAAACCCCCCCAGTCCACACGCTGACAATCAATTTCTATTTATTTCTTTCTTGAAAGCTTACGGTGTAGGGCTTATAGAATTGTATAGGGTTCGGTCCGGGGTTTGGAGCAAAACGTTGTGAGAGCAGGTTTGCATGTGAATTTGTGGCCGGGCTGCAGGCTCGTGACTCCGAGCGGGTGGTGATTGGAGGCTGAGGGCTGCCGGGCTGGCGGCTGGGGGAAGGGGCTGCGGCTGGGGGCTGTGCTGTGCACCGCGGGACTGGTCTGGCGAAAAAACGAAACCAACGCAGATATTTCTATTTATCCTGTTCTTGAGGGTTTAGGGTTGTGCCGTTTGGGTTTAAGGTTTCAGGGTTTAAGTTTAGGGTTCAGGGTTTAGGATTTAAGGTGTGCTTTATTTATCCGTGTTCTTGCTCGCTTGATACGTGCGGGTTTTGCTTCTATTTACATTTATTCGGACGATGTTGATTCGTTGGCTGCTTTGCCGGGGATTGCAACTTTGCCGGGGATTGCGGACGCTAAACTAAACAATTTCTATCTTATCCAGACTTGTGGGTGTAGGGTTCAGGGTTTATACAGTTTAAGGTTAAAGGTTTAAAGTATAAATTCAAAGTTCAGTCTAGGGTTTACGGTTAAACATTAACTCCATACTCACTCACACGCTCAAACTTTCTCAATCTGACTCCTACTCTTTCTGTATGCCTTTCCATCTCTTTCGCTTCTGCCCTTGCCCTCTCCCTCTCCCCTCCCTTTCCCTCACCCTTCTCCCCCTCTCCATCTCCATCCCAACCTCCTCTCTCTAACTATTTCCCCTTTGCCTCTCCCTATCCATCTCCACTTTCCACTCCCTCTCCCTCTCCATTTTGCTCTGCTGCTCCCTCTCCCTCTCACTCGCCTCTACAACTGCATTCCCGTGGGCGCGCGGACGGCAACGCGACATAAAGGCCATCGGAGCAGCCTGAACATGAGTTAAACAACAAAGGCAGCCTCTCTCGCCGCGGTGTTGCCATTGAACGCATATTGGAGTCGAAGGCTGCCTTTACCACACGCTGCCCGTTCGGCTTGCCATTGAAGCCGACGAGACCACGCTCTGTCGGCTTTGTGTTCTTCTTGACAATGGCCATGCCCTGCCGGCGACTGTTTTTCGTAAACGTCGCGTCGTGCATAGTCCGCCTCCGGACCTGCATGTCAGGCGCCCCAAACCAATCCGGAAGGGCCAGAGTTGCTCGGAATTGCACACACGGCGGGGCTCGGAAGTGGGGTACACAATAGCTGTCGCAGGGCGCTTCCACCGGCTGTAGCGTCGGTGGTCCAAGCGGCACCGTGTCACGTGCTGGACGTGCGCAACACCCGCCTAGGCGACCGCGGACTGGAGCCAGTAAAGGTAAAACGGCACTTGGCCAGGAAAATCTGGAGGAGATGACCAGTCAACCACACGGCGCCAAACTCCTCCCTAATGTCATACCAGGGCATGGCCAAAACCATAAAGGGGGATGTTGCTGAAAAGCACAAAAATCCGTCCTGCCGCGTCCTGCACACGGAACAGGCTTGTGCCAAAATGGCTGCGGAAGGCGACAGGGTTTGGGATAAATTCGGCGGGCACACTGATCAATGCCAAAATACTCCATTTGCTTTCCCAGTGCACACCCTGCCTGAAAACCCCAATCCCAACCTACATCGTCGAATCCCAGGCTCGCAAATATCGGGGTCCCATCCCGGACATGGCGCACGACATCAAATTGCTCCCAAGGGTTCCAGCTTCAGGGTTTGTGCTGGGCTTCTGGTCCCAACCCTAACCCTGACCCTCTTCTCTTTCACTTGCGCCCTTTCCCTCTCCCCCTCCCCCTCCTTTTCATCACCCTTCCCTCTCCCTCGCCCTCTCCATCTCCGTCTCAACCTCCTCTCTCTAATTTATCCCTTTCCCTCTCCCTATCCCTCTCCACTTTCCACTCCCTCTCCAATTTCCTCTGCCGTTCCCTCTCCCTCTCACTCGCCTCTACAACTGCATGCCTGTGGGCGCGCGGACGGCAACGCGACATAAAGGCCATCGGAGCAGCCTGAACATGAGTTAAACAACAGTCCAACCAAACAGAGCTGCCAAAGGCAGCCTCTCTCGCCGCGGTGTTGCCATTGAGCGCATATTGGCGTCGATTTCGATCTCGAAGGCTCTGTGTGAAGGCTGCCTTTACCACACGCTGCCTGTTCGGCTTGCCATTGAAGCCGACGAGACGACGCTCTGTCGGCTTTGTGTTCTTCTTGACAATGGCCATGCCCTGCCGGCGACTGTTTTTCGTAAACGTCGCGTCGTGCATAGTCCGCCTCCGGACCTGCATGTCAGGCGCCCCAAACCAATCCGGAAGGGCCAGAGTTGCTCGGAATTGCACACACGGCGGGGCCCGGAAGTGGGGTACACAAGCTGTCGCAGGGCGCTTCCACCAGCGTCAGTGGTCCAAGCTGCACCGTGTCACGTGCTGGACGTGCGCAACACCAGCCTAGGCGACCGCGGACTGGAGCCAGTAAAGGAAACACGGCACTTGGCCAAGATCGCCGCCACACGCGATAAAGTGTGCTGCGTACTGATCGTCTGGAAAATCTGGAGGAGATGGCCAGTCAAGCACACGGCGCCAAACTCCTCCCTAATGTCATACCAGGACATGGCCCAAACAATAAAGGGGGAGGTTGCTGAAAAGCAGAAAAATCCGTCCTGCCTCGTCCTGCACACGGAACAGGCTTGTGCCAAAATGGCTACGGAAGGCGACAGGGTTTGGGATAAATTCGGCGGGCATACTGATCATCAATGCCCAAACACTCCATTCGCTTTCCCAGTGCACACCCTGCCTGAAAACCCCAATCCCAACCTTCTTAACCCCTACATCGTCGAATCCCAGGCTCGCAAATGTAGGGGTCCCATCCCGGACATGGTGTGGGATCACCACGGAAGCCCAAGACATCAAATTCCTCCCAAGGGTTCCAGCTTCAGGGTTTGTGCTGGGTTTCTGTGGGTCGGGCGGGAATGAATGTTGTACTAGGCCCAGAAACAAATTTGATGCAACGCAAAGCAGCTTTGTCTGGAGTAGCACGGTTCAGCCGAAGGCCTAGAGCTTCTTCAGAGCATGCGACTTGTTGCACTGCAAACTCTCATACGCACAGGCTAGATTGGCGGACATTTCTGCTGTTGTTGCGACTTGCTCCGCAATTCCATTGAGCCCTAATCCTCAAGCATAAACACGGCAACCAGAATCGACAACCTCGGATTGAATCACTCTGGTGCCAACCCTAACCCTGACATCTTGAATCCCAAAGGCCCAAATCCGACACCCTCCAACGCTAAACCAGAGCGGACCCCAAAGCCCGAACCTCAAAGCTCTGAGCCTAAATAGGTTAATGGTTGGGGTTTAGGGGCTTGTGGGCTTGGCGTTTATGTTTCGAGTATAGGTGCAAGTTATATAGCGGTTAGGGGGCTTTTAAAGTATGGGTTTGAGGGCTCTAGTACTTCCTAGGCCTGAGCAATGTTTCATCGGGATGGCCCAGCCACCCCCGCTGTACTTGAAAAGTGTGTCTAACCACGTCCTGCTCCCTCAAGCCCGCACCTGAAAATCCGACAGCAACACCTCGACCCCAAACCAGCAAGCGAATAGCTCGTCGAGACCGCCTGCACCTAGAAAATTTGACATATCAGGTTCCCTATTCTAAAAATTCCTGTTCTAAGTCCTTACACAAGGTAGGCTGTTTGGGGACAGGTAAGATATGGGTGGTTGTCAAAATTATGGCCCCTTCTTGGGTACCCTAAATATTAGGTGTCGTATTGTAATAAGGACCCAAAAAAGGGGCCCTAATTTTGACAACTACCCTTTTGGGAGTTTCCGAAAATAGGGGACCCTAATATAGTACCCTAAATAGTAAGATCCTTATAATAAGGACCCCAAAATACCCCTATTTTCGGAAACTCCCAATATAGAAGCTGCATTGGCCTGGAAGCTGGTACCCAGCGCGTAGGAACGCCCAAACTCCTCAATGCGGACATGTCGCCAGACCCTGCAGGCTAGGACGGGTGTTTAGGGCCTTCGGCGCTCACACTCGGACAATCCAGGCGAGGCATATGGTTCGGAGTCTGACGATGTGAAAACATGCTTGAGAGAGGTCATCAGACTGTCCCTTCTAGAACGTTTAGGGCCTTAGGAGTTTCGGTGTACAGGGCCTTGGGCACGGGGATCTACTTCGGAATTTCAAGATTTTCGGCTTTGGGGCCTGGGGCTCTGGGGGTTTCGGAGCGTCACAGGGTTTCCATAGGTCCCTGAGTCCTTGAGGTTAAGGAAACTCTAATCCCCCCCTAGGCTCATCCTGTCATTTGCAGTTTCCGGGCTCCAGGGATAGCACACGCCTCCCCGACCCACGGCAAATATGAGATGTGTTGCAAATCCGTAGGTATATACTGTAGCTAGAAAGCTGTCTTGAGCAACCGCGTGTGTTTTTACTGGAATAAATAATAAACGAACAGGTTCTTGCACGACTTCTTGGGGCGATACGAGAACAATGAATCCTAAGACAGCTTCGAGGAACTTACGAACCTCAGCAAGGAGAATGGCTCTTGAACTGTCGGCTGTGGATTCCAAGAGGCCTTAAGGATTTTAGAAACAATCCTGCAGCGTCCATGTGTACCCAGATTCGAACCCAAAGTATACTACAACTTTATGGGAGCATGGACTCTCAGAGAGTTTCTGGAGCTGACACCAAAGGAAAGCTTTCAGGCACGAGCTTTCCCGGGCTTCTCTTCGGGGTGGGAGCTCTTAATGCCAGGAGTTTGGGGCGGCTTCGGGTCTGACGCGCCAGGAAGGACCCGCGACCGACCAATGTTCTGAACCATATATATATATATATATATATACATACATAGACCCTTTACCCTCAGCCCTAAAGCCTGAAACCCTCTAGCGGAAGTATCCTCAGTTTGGGATTCCAGGGTCTCTCTCGATCTATTGAGCCAAATTCTGTGATTCTTCCTCTCATATAGTGAGGTCCAAGGTAAAGGGGCTTGATCTACGGTCCACGATTTAGCGTTTGGGGCTTATGGGAGTTCAAGGTAAACTTGTGCCGTAATAGTCAGTTGCCTGGAGGGGTAACTTAAAAAGTGAGACCACCACAATGAAACCCGGGATGGCTCATGTTTGGAACCCTACACATCCTTCAAACCCGAAACCCCAACGCCCTAGCCAGAGATTCCATAAACCGGCCTACATAAAACCACTAAGCCCTGTCAACCAGAGGCGGTGCCTCGTCCAAAAGATTGCAGACATCTCATGCGAGTCAAAGGGGAAGGTGTGCCTCAGGAACACTGGGGAGTTCGAGACAACAAACTCCCTCATGCAATTCACGCTCGTGGGACAGCCTTAACTCAATATCATATCCGTCGCAGATCGCTATCATCTTATCTCAACTGCAGAGAAGGTGCCAACACATGCGTGTCAACTGCACATAAGAAGTTGCTTCCCGACCCGAATCTGTTAGTTCCAATCCATGTGGTGGATCTTGCCTTTCTTCCTTCGCACAGCTCTTCTTTTGAAGATGTCGCCTGGCACGGGCTCAGATAGCTTCAGGCTATAGTGGGCCAGAGCGGAATCCGCTGTGTCTCAAGGATCTGATGAGATCCCAGATTGGTCCTTGAACCCATCTGATACCTGCAACTACCCCTGCCCAGGCTCAGGCGTCCACTTCCTTCTTCTCAGTCGCGGGTGACTCAAGCTCGTGGGTCACCTTGAAGACGCCGGCGGCAACAGCGGCACCCACAAGCTCGAAACCTGAATAGATCAGCGCCTTGAAGAAGAAGCCTCCATTCAGAATGTTGGCTGCTGCAATGCCGAAGGATACCGCAGGGTTGAGGGATCCACCAGAGATGCCACCGATGGCGAAGCCACCGACGGTGACGCAAGAGCCGATGGCGAGGCCGAAGAGGTGGGAGGCCTTCGTGCGCTCGGAGACGGCGACGCAAAGCACCACGAAGCAAAGCACGAAGGTATAGACGATCTCCGCCACGGACACACCTGCCCAAGTGCTGGAGCCTACCGGCCCGAGACCAAAGGTGGCTCCCTTGTAGATGAAGGCATAGGTCATGGCCGCAGCGATGCCTCCTGCGATCTGCACGCTCGCATAGGTCCCAGCCTTCGCCGGGGTGAGCTCAGGGCAGCGGCCGGAGGCGAGAATGGCGACGGTGACGGCTGGGTTGAAGTGGGCACCGGAGACATCGCCCAGGGCGTAGATCATCGAGGTGAGGCCCGCTGCAATGGAGAAAGCAGCTGCTTTCGAGCTGCCAAGGACGTTGAGGCCGACGGTGAGGACCAACATGTAAGTTCCCAGGAACTCGCTCACCAGCTCGGTAGCCTGGCTCTTCTCTCCTCCAAAGTCTTCAGGGCGAACCACCTTGAAGAGGGCGGCGGCCATGGCAGCACCAAGAAGCTCGAAGACGACGTAGGCAATGGACCAGCCGAAGCCGCGGCCCGCGCTGGACACGTCGATACCCAAAGCCACGGCCGGGTTGAAGCAGCCGCCGGAGACAGCGCCAGCTCCATAGGCACCTGCAACCACGGTGAAGGCGATGGCCATGCCGTAGTACTGGTTCTTCTCCGTGACGTTCTTCTTGGCAGCAGCCACGTTCATGACAACGAAGGTCAGCATGAAGGTGTAGAGGAGCTCGCAAAGGCCTGCGTGGTACCACGAGAAGCCTTTGGCAGGAGCAAGGTTGAAGCTCTGGCCGAAGAGCAAGGAGTAGCAGATGGCGGCCGAGATGCCGGCAGCAGTCTGCACACCGGCGTAGATGCCAACCGTCTTCCAATCCAGGCCTGGACCTCCCATCGCACGGGAGATACCCAGCGTCACGGACACGGCAGGGTTGAAATTCGCCCCGGAAATGCCGCCCAGCGCATAGATGCACACCATCAGGACAAAGGCGATGGACACACCGGCCCAGGTCGCCGATCCACCCAAAACATTGCAGCCCACCGTGAAGATCAAGAGGAAGGTGCCCACGAACTCTGCCGTGCACTTGGCAGCAATCGTCGGCTCGGTTGTCATGGCTGCAACGCAGGGAGCTTCAATGAAACTGATAGTCTCAAAGGCTTGAGTCGGCTGCGGCAGCACACACACACACACATACACACGAAGAGACTTGCCGCATCTGAAGAGCCTCCACCTCCTGCAACAAGCAATCCGAGCAGTCAGCGGATCTCTGCGTAGACCGCACAAAGGAGTTGGAATCACTTGAATGGCTTTGAAGTATCTTAGAATGTCACGATATAAGGCTATAGTTTATAAGTTCATAAGAGATCACTACCTTACAAAAAAATATTGACCTCTATAGCAATTAGACGTTCGAGTATGGCTTTCGCTTCACGTAGCAACGTTGTAAACTCAACCAATCAACGCCCTGACGCAGGATTGCCCGAATCGCACCAGATTGTCTATCGTCTTATCTCCACCGCCGAGAAGTTGATAACACATGCATGTCTGTCAACTGCACCAAGAAGTCGCTCGAATGTGCCATTCTTCCTTCGCACAGCTCTTCTTTTGAAGATGTCGCCTGGCACGGGCTCAGATAGCTTGAGGCTATAGTGGGCCAGAGCGGAATCCGCTGTGTCTCAAGGATCTGATGAGATCCCAGATTGGTCCTTGAACCCATCTGATACCTGCAACTACCCCTGCCCAGGCTCAGGCGTCCACTTCCTTCTTCTCAGTCGCGGTAGACTCAAGCTCGTGGGTCACCTTGAAGACGCCGGCGGCAACAGCGGCACCCACAAGCTCGAAACCTGAATAGATCAGCGCCTTGAAGAAGAAGCCTCCATTCAGAATGTTGGCTGCTGCAATGCCGAAGGATACCGCAGGGTTGAGGGATCCACCAGAGATGCCACCGATGGCGAAGCCACCGACGGTGACGCAAGAGCCGATGGCGAGGCCGAAGAGGTGGGAGGCCTTCGTGCGCTCGGAGACGGCGACGCAAAGCACCACGAAGCAAAGCACGAAGGTGTAGACGATCTCCGCCACGGACACACCTGCCCAAGTGCTGGAGCCTACCGGCCCGAGACCAAAGGTGGCTCCCTTGTAGATGAAGGCATAGGTCATGGCCGCAGCGATGCCTCCTGCGATCTGCACGCTCGCATAGGTCCCAGCCTTCGCCGGGGTGAGCTCAGGGCAGCGGCCGGAGGCGAGAATGGCGACGGTGACGGCTGGGTTGAAGTGGGCACCGGAGACATCGCCCAGGGCGTAGATCATCGAGGTGAGGCCCGCTGCAATGGAGAAAGCAGCTGCTTTCGAGCTGCCAAGGACATTGAGGCCGACGGTGAGGACCAACATGTAGGTTCCCAGGAACTCGCTCACCAGCTCGGTAGCTTGGCTCTTCTCTCCTCCAAAGTCTTCAGGGCGAACCACCTTGAAGAGGGCGGCGGCCATGGCAGCACCAAGAAGCTCGAAGACGACGTAGGCAATGGACCAGCCGAAGCCGCGGCCCGCGCTGGACACGTCGATACCCAAAGCCACGGCCGGGTTGAAGCAGCCGCCGGAGACAGCGCCAGCTCCATACGCACCTGCAACCACGGTGAAGGCGATGGCCATGCCGTAGTACTGGTTCTTCTCCGTGACGTTCTTCTTGGCAGCAGCCACGTTCATGACAACGAAGGTCAGCATGAAGGTGTAGAGGAGCTCGCAAAGGCCTGCGTGGTACCACGAGAAGCCTTTGGCAGGAGCAAGGTTGAAGCTCTGGCCGAAGAGCAAGGAGTAGCAGATGGCGGCCGAGATGCCGGCAGCAGTCTGCACACCGGAGTAGATGCCAACCGTCTTCCAATCCAGGCCTGGACCTCCCATCGCATGGGAGATACCCAGCGTCACGGACACGGCAGGGTTGAAATTCGCCCCGGAAATGCCGCCCAGCGCATAGATGCACACCATCAGGACAAAGGCGATGGACACACCGGCCCAGGTCGCCGATCCACCCAAAACATTGCAGCCCACCGTGAAGATCAAGAGGAAGGTGCCCACGAACTCTGCCGTGCACTTGGCAGCAATCGTCGGCTCGGTTGTCATGGCTGCAACGCAGGGAGCTTCAATGAAACTGATAGTCTCAAAGGCTTGAGTCGGCTGCGGCAGCACACACTCGCATCCAAGCAGTCAGTGCATCTGCGGTCAGACCATGTCAGACCAGAGAAAGGAGTCGGAATTATGAGAATGTCATCGGGTGTCGGTTCGAGGTATCATATAGTAACATCGTATCATAGAGAGCTGTAGCAGGGCATGTGGCTTCCACTTACTGTGGTGACAATGTCTCACACTCCAAAATATCCACGCCCCTAAACCGGCTTAAACCCTAAGCTTCCCTAGAGCCTAAGCCCTAAAGTCTTCAGCTGCCAGGCGGCAAGGAGGGTGTGTTGTACCAGAGAGACTCCACATCCCAATTGCACTGGATCATCTTCGTCGTCGGCTCCAAACCTGTCGGCGTTTTTCAGCCTCCAGTCCCTTGACAGCTAGGCTTAGGCTTCCTTTTCGTGCATGACGAGACGCGAAGCTTCGCGTCGCCGGAGATCTTTGGATATGGCTCCTGCCGGGGTTGATGCTTCTGTGGAGGCGTCCAGGAATCTGCAACCTTCAACCATCCTAGCAGACTAGTTCTCCTGCAGGAAGCTGCAGAGGAAGTACAGCATGCTTCAATTCTCACCACTCTCCTGGTCTCTTTTACTTATAGAAGACCTGATCCGTACCCTACAGGCAGGACACGTCAGCCGTGAGTCATTGCAACGCACGCCATCTGAAGGGATGCCTCGCCAAGCTCTCTGTGCCAGTTGACCACACCAATGCGCATGTAGCCTCAACTGATAAGGATTTCGGGTTCAACAGAGTCGACACAATAATTTCAACATCACCGTCCTCCCCTCACCCCCTAAACCCCAAACAGAGCCAGTAAAGCACGCGTTGAGGACATATGTGAGGCTGCTCCTTCGGACGCTAAACCCTCGAGCAATCCCATCGGAAAGAGACTTTCTCATCTTCTTTGGCCCCGGGGTTTAGCCTGAAAACAATTCAGAAGCCGACCGAGATGCGCATAAGATTCTCCGCCTCTGGCTGCTCTTGCAACGGCGAAAACCTGTGTCTAGCTTCTCTGGGCTTGCGACTTTTGTTACATAGGGGTCTTAGTAATGAACAGACTAGGTTTGCGGGGTATACCATGGTATAGGTGGCAATCTCATCATGCGCTTTGGACATTAGGCTTAAGTCCCTAACCGTACACCTCCACACCCCCGAACTCGAAAGCCCTAAACCCTGAGGGTATTCATCATGACTAAACTAGAGCTTCGGGTTTCGGGCTTCACGGGTTCAGGATTTAAGATGGTTTACGGTTTTGGTGTGGGTGCTTTTGGTTTTTGGGGTTTCGGGTTTCGACTCTCACGCTCGGACGAAGAAGGCACGGCTTCACGACGACCGGCTCACTAAAAAACTGCTGAAACCAAAATAGGGGCCTAAATTAACTACCTATACTCTTTTGGGGATTCCTTATTGTAGTGATAGTGCAATGGGCCACAAAACCCTATGGAATTTATTAAGGCCCCTGTATTAAGCAAGAAGCGCCTCCCACTCAATTGTATAAGACCCGTAGCCTGCACTCTACAGGATCCCCTTACATAAAGCAAGGCCTGTGGATGCCCAATGCACTGAGAGGCTCACGTCGATTCAGGCAAACCAGTAACAAACAGTATCCACTTTTCCCAACCAAACCGTAGCCTCCATGAGAGCCTAGCCGAAACACAGAGCTACAAATCACCAAGTCAGCTGCTTCTATTCTAGCTACTTGATTTCCCAGTCGGATTGTCAAATCGCCAAAGCTAAAGAATAGCACAGCTACAGTACACAACAATCACGACAGTAAGATGGATACGCTACCGACCTGACAATCCCCGTGGGCCGGCCTGCCAATACCTTTTGCTACCCTCAGGTACGTCTACCGGGCAGTTGCGCAAAAGAAGGTGCAACCTCTGCACTAGACTAGCGTCTTAGATCTAGGTTTTTACATTGTTTGTTTAGAGGTTGAAACCAACATAACTAGAGTCCGCAAAATAAGCCCTCTCAGATTTGAAGCTTTTGATTTTTGCGCCGCACAGCAGGCTAAACCCCGACAGCCCATTGGTTCAAGTCCCTTGAACCATACCCAGCAAGCGGCGCATCGTCGGCTTTGCGCACATCGCCCTTGAACCATGCCTGCATGCGTGCCAAGATCTCCAATTACCGTCGCCTACTGAATGGTTCGTGAACAAACAGTAGGGTTTTAGCTGAGGGGAGGGGACCTCCAATAACTGACGGATTTAGGCGCGTTGGGCAGTGTACTTCTAGAGATGCAAGATGTTGTAGGTGGGCATCGAAAGCCAGATGGAGACTCTGTCAGGCTTTAGGCGCGAAATACTTGTGCGTGATCAGCCCAGTGTTGCTATTTAGCCTGTGGGATGTCCACTTGGGGCTTTAACCTGACGTCTGACACTCAAACTTCAATCTCCGACGCTCGAACCCTAAACCAATGTTTGGATCTGCGAAAGAGGAACGTAGCTCGAAGGGGGTACGACCTGAGAATAGTCGCGGCTCCCACTCCAGGCAATATGCTCATCCACTCTTAAGATATTTTGAGACAAGCTCCACCAAAATAGAACGTTGGGTATTCTCGAAGATGGTCAAGACTAAGGGCGCCAAGACCCTTAGTAAGTGCCATTTACTGAGAGCGTCGTTGGAAATGTGGGATAATCAAAGCTGCCTTGGCCATGAAAAAGAAACCCAAAGCTATCAAACCCTGCAACCCGACAATCCCGACGAGCCCTTAGCAAGAAGAAGCGACACAGCCGCAAAAAGCCAGCCCCGAAGCCCCAAGCCCCTGAACGCCAGAAGCTCGGCCCATCCTGTTCTGAACTGAAACAGCACGTCCGCACAAGGACGCACAGACGACCCAGACACTACACAGAAGACGCACCTTTGAACATAGGTACACATAAATTACATAGAGGAATCTATGCAATTCTCGAAGCACATCTCTATGCATCGTCGAATCCCGGAGCTTCTGCCTCAAACTCCTTGGCCAAGGCAGCTTCAAGTCTCGACTTCAATTCCCCGGACATAGTGCGCGCATCCTGAGGTGGCCAAATCGCTCCCTGTCGTTGAGATTACTATTTCAGCCTTTTGGGACCTCCAGTTTAGGAAACCCTAAGCTCCTAAACTCAACACCGTTTCTAGCTCATGGATGTTCCTGGATCTCTTTTCTCCCTACTGCCCAATGCTCGACATTCCAAGCTGGAGTCGTGTGGCCTCGTCTGCATCCCCGACGAAGCTTTGCATGTATATGTGGGTTTAATGAAAGAGTCAGAAAAGGATGTTGCGCCCTAAACCCTAAACCCTAAACCGTTCAAAAGTGGTACATAGGTGGAGAGGAGCATAGAGGAGCTGGAAGCGATTTTGCATGCTTGGGTTTCACCACGGTCTAACCCCAAACACGACAATCTAAACCCGAAGTATCGGTGAGGGGCGCATAGGAATTAGGACAGTACGTGGGGCTGCTCACCGACCGGCGGACACATCATGAACTGCTGCACGGGTTTAGTGTTCTTTTTAGGGCTTTCGGTTTTTTTCGGGCCTTAGGGGTGGAGGGTTTAGTTTAATTAGTGCTTAGGGCTGGACGGGATAGGGCCTTAGGGTTAAGGATGACCTCGTTTTCAATGTAGCCCGTGAGCCCTGCACTGCACCCCAAGCCCTGGACCCAACTCGAGCACGCTGGAGCCCACTATACCCTTCCAATGGTCCTTGGAAAAAAGAGCCATCGCCACAGAGAAGACCACGGCGAATGGTACTACGATAGTGATTCTCTCAGAGATGCCACTTTTCTGCCATGTCACCAAGTTCCGTCTCAGTTTCTCTGGCCTCCCTCCTCCCAGTGATGATACGATTGATACGATGATAAGAAGCCTTATGCAGTTGAAGGCATAATTTGGACCCGGCTCAAAATCCCAAAGCCCCTAACGACACATATGTTAAACCGTGGACTTCGGACTCTGGCCCCCGTGCTTGCTGCCAGATTCAATTGTATCTTGCAGCGCCGTCTTCGTCGCCTCATCCAGCTGAGGGCCTGGCATATGCTACTGCTATTCTGTGTTCAGGGCTGTCGTCGCGGGCTTTGCAGATGGGGGTTGGGCTGCTTGGAGACTAGGTGTGTGGAACCTAGGCCCTAGGCTGGCGCTTCTTCCCGAAAGCCTTCCGAAAGGATTTCCGTGAAGGTGGAGGGATAATTAATTAATGCGGATGGATGTATGCATGGATGGAGGACAGGACGGATCAGATGCTTGTTGGCTACTGCGCTGTTCGACACACTTTCGGGACATTCCTTTCACCATCAAGAACCGGAGCTCAGAACAAAACAAGTTCGTACAATTCCCGACTCATCAATCTGCCCGTCACAGGGCTAGGGTTTAGGGTTTAGGGTTTAGAGTTTAGGGCAAGCAACCCATGTTCAGCCCGTGCATATATAGGTGGTTTCGGCAGGCGGCTGCGCATCTTATGGAAGCTTCACCAGAGTGGGATGCCGTACGTTACAAGCGTTTTCTAGGGATCTCAAAGAAACACATTGCACTGTGTGCAGACCCCACGCATGTCTGTCGATGTCACCTGGTTTATCTACACCTCATTCATCGATGCACAGCTAAAACCGAAACCTTTAACCCTACAACTCGTGTAAGTTCTAGTTGTAAATCTCGCATATGCCCAAAGGAAACACAAGCATTAAGCTTACTCGTAATTCCTAGTATGGAGACCCTACTTTAAATTCTACTATGTGCTGATTTTAAGACCCCGTATAAGACCCTCCAATCATTACGGCCCGTTCCCCAAACCCTTATAGTAGACCTTATAAGAACACTTCCAAGGATCTTTGAAAAGAGCTCGATTCTTACCTTAGGATCCTTTAATTTGGCAGGGCCAGGTCACCGAAATCACGAAGGTACACTGCTGGAGGCACCTGGCACTTACTTCGCTCACGATTTAGGTTCCCGCGCGCTCAACACAGTTTTGAAACACTAAAGAGTCGAACATCCTCTTGGGGGTAACTACACATTTCTGACTTATCGAATAATCACACTGGCATTAACCAGTCTCCTCTCAGGCGGTATATGGATTTGGTGGTTTGGTTTGGCCCAGCATATTTCGCCTCTCACTCATGTTGAGCTTTCTGGAGCCCTCAGAAGATACTTACTCTACCTGCTCCAGTGAAGTTGATGGATAGTCGGCACTGTATATGTGCTAGCATCCCCGGACTGCCCCCTCCTTCCCCCCCCGCCCCTACACATGGTATCTCTCTTCCCGTTGCTGCAGAACGGCTTCCGTTTCAAGCTTCGGGGTTTGGGAAGGATGGTTCAGGCTCTATCCTGTGGAGCTACCTACATTTCCAAGGTCATAGGCGTTTGTTTTCTCGGCGGCGTAATTAGGTTTTGCAGGGTCGAGCTCTTCCGCATGCCAATGTTGACTTTCAGTCTAAGACCGCTTGTGAGGTATCAAGAGTGGTTCGCTTGGTCGCTTTTTGTCTCGACACTCAGCTGAAACTCCAGTGAGCACGTCTCAAGAATCCTCTGCAAGCAAATGAACTTCGGCGCCTTCATGTATGTAGCAGCCCACGTACTTTCTAGCAATAATATTCCGGGATGGTCAGTGTAGAGTGTGTATATAAACAGGGTTTAGGGTTCAGGAAGAGCCGACCACATCGCCGGATGTCAGAAATGAACCCTCGAGCCGAATCGGCACTTACAAGCCCAACACACTAAGCCCATGCAGGCAATGCCTAAACCTGCATCCAACCCAATGCCTTCATGGACACACTGACATGGCCGCCCCAGTAGAAGTTCACCAGGTCGACTTTGGAGATTCCCTGGATACTAACCTCGGCTTCGACTCCGCAGGGGGCTCAAGATTAAGGCTGAGGGAGTAAGGTTTGTGGCCCTGAGGTGTTAGGGTTTGGGTTCTCCATGTTTCGAGTGCAGGGTTTGGAGCTCCAGGCTCTCAGGGCTTAGAGGTGCAAGTTAGAGAGCCAGGTGTCAGGTTCAGATCAGCAGTTCACATGAGTTGAGGGTTCAGTTGAGGGTTAGTAGTTGTATATATCTATGAGGACTGAACAAGCTTTGCCACATCTAGAACCTACAAACAGCGGGAACCACAAACCCCAGAACCCTGCACAGTCTGGCCCTCAGATCCGAATTTCCATGCGAGCTTCAGCAACGAAGCCCAAGAATTGTCTCGATAGCAAACCTCAGGGTTTCGGGTTCAAGTTTAGGGTTTTGCACATCGTAAAGAACTCAGAGCTCTAACTGCACAGCCAAGACCCGAGCTCTCGCCGGCCTTTAAACGTCAGGTTTTAAGTGGCGCTAAACTCCTTGAGCAAATACTAGAGCCTTCATAAACCCAAGACCTAAACGCTACAAGCCTTTCAAGCCTTCCAAACCCCAAAGACCAGGATTCCGAACATACCAACCATTACTATTTTGGGGTTTTGTTATTATAAGCTTAGTATCCCCAATTATTAAGGCCTCTATATTAGAGGGTCCCATAGGAGTGCAACTGCGTGGCAGTCAAGCCAACGCTGGCTTCAGGATCGAATCGCTGGTCCTCCCGGACTCTGAGGCGACTTCCGGAACTGAATCAGTGTCAGAGCAACAGGGTTTCAGAGCTTAGGGCTTGGGGTTTAAGGCTGGCTTACGGGCTTGGGGTTAATGTCCGAGGAGTTTCATCAATGTCAGGGTGACTCCGCAAGTGTACGCAAAGACTCAAGGCTAGCTGTGGTGGTCCAGGTTCGAACGAAACCTTCGATCCTTCCTTCACATAGGGTATGGTATTACCAATTACGGTTTGGGAGTTTAGGGCTTGTGGCCTGAGGAAAAATGTTCAAACGATAAGTGTACAGTGGAGGGACTGTGGCACGACTGACTGGGAGAGCCGAACCGACACTTGCAGGCGCAAGGCCAAGAGTTCCGTGACCAAAGGCTGGACAGAAGACGACGTCTCTCTGACTTTAAGCGGAAGATCGCGAACCCTGTAAAAGTCGTACCGTCCTACCAGCTTTATACAGCGAGCTTGCTTGACCTTTGCATTCCAACATAACTGGGTGGAAACTCGAAAACTTATTCAAGCTTCGGTTGGCGTTGACGAAAGCCATCTATCGAAACAGAAGGGAACCAAGACCAATAGTCCCCTGCTGCCTCCTGCAATCAGCATTGAGCTTCAACACAAAGGTCCTCTGTGAGCACGAGACTGGATGGACGTACCCCAGCTTTGTCCAGCCATGTGCGCCTGCAGCTGCAAGTGCTTTAGCCCACGTTGCCCCTAAACTGTAACTTGTTGAGGGCTTCGGAGCCCATTACTAGCCGCTTGAAGTACAAAACCTCGAGCACTTGTCCTACGTAGCCTAAACAGCATGCCTTGGGTTTAGGAGCCCGAGCAAGAAGCTCTCTTGCAATGCCTCGGATCGGTTCCCTTCGTGCATGACTGAGAGTCCCAGCTGGAGGAATTTAGGTTCTAGCCGGCTCGGTGGTCGTAAGCAGAAAAGCTGATAATTACCTCTACTATTTTGGGGGGTTCCTTATTACAGTTATAGCATAATGGGCCCCAAGCCCTATTCTATTGAGTTTGTCGAATGTCTCCGGACGAGGTCTCATGGTGCTGAAGCTGCTGCATGTAGTGCAGAACCTACGTGGAGAAGTATGGGTGGGTTAAAACTCCAACGGGTAGACTAGTGTCGTGTTAGCTGCAACTTGAGCAGACCAAGCTCACATACTTCCGTAGTTTGCAGAAATGTTCTAAGATGTTCGACTTTGAGAAGGCAGCTTGTTGAAGCCAGAGCACCCTCCGAAGACACCAAGGGGTAAGCAATGACTCGTGGCTGGCCTCGGAACATAACCTTACACCGAACGTACACTCTTACACTCTTACATCCTCAACCAGCAGAGTCTGGCAAGACTCTAACTCTACACCCTTACCGTGAGATGTTTAATGTCAAACACCTTTGAACTCTCGATTCCCTGAACCTCTGGAGCGCCTGACGAGGGGGACTTTGGGCAAAGGCTGGCAGATCTTCCAAAGAATCTGGCCTTGGAGATGTGCGGCTTAGGGGCTTAGGGTTTCCAGCTTGAGCCCTGGGGGACTTCGGCTTTGACTCGGCATCCAACCGGTGGTAAGCTCAGTTTAGTGCAGTGGGCAACGTCGCCATCATCATCATCATCATCACCGGCATCACCACCATCCTCAGCATTGTTGTCAGCACCAGCTTCACCATTGTTGGCGCGGTACGCCGCGGTGGCGGGGACCTGACCGCGAAATGGGAGGTTTACGAGTGGTTCTGCCATGTTGTCTGCCTTTATGGAGAGGGGGCTTGGGTGCCGAGCACCCTGGGCTTCAAGAGCCGAAGCCACCAGAGATGTACCACAGCCTAGAAGCCAGACTACCTGTGTAGTAGGTTCCTCGTCGTTGTGACACATCACATGATATTTTACATGGACGTGAGATGTATAGGAACAAAATAATTGGGCTAGCAGGGAGTAGATGGAATGCGAACAACCAATCTCAACCAAACCCTGTGGATGCATTTGCCAACAAAGTCGCAGCCGAGGTCTCGGTGACTGCACACGCGATGAAGAAGTGAATCGGTAAGAGTCGGCTCGTGCAAGTAGCCTCCTTGGCGATTTCCGTGAGGATTTCGAGGTTTACGACTGCGAGCTGTGGTTTCAGTTATCGGGGAGAGTAAGATAAAAAATGCCCACGTGCTACATTGCCAGGTTCCTTTCGTTTCGTGCGGGGCCCTGAAAACGTCCGAGCGCAACCCAATCATCTCCTTGCATTTCTCTTAGGCGGGTTAAAAATGGGAGTGGCTCCACTCCTCAGGCTATGAATATTGTAGCTTGTGCGGCCGGAACCGAAGCTTGCCCCCAATAGTAAAAAGTCCGAAGCCACCATTGCTGTTTCGATGTGGGACGCAGAAGACACTCACTCCATCCGCCCCACTAGAAATCGAAAGTCGAACGCCAACTGTCTTGGCAAACTCTGTCCTTATGGGAATCGGGGGCCATCGGAGGTTTCTCTACTGTCCTCTCCTCGCGCAGAGAAAGTCTTAAGAAAGATCTGCTGATGCATGTTGCATCTGGGCCCATCAACTTCTTTCAGCAACCCTCCAACATATTCAGGCATCCTGAAGCCTTCTGGTTTAGGGTTTGGGTGGCTTTCGTTGGCTTTGGGGTTTGGGGTTGGCGTAGGTTGAAAGCTAGCCCCACGAGAACCTTCAGAGAAAAGGGAAGCTTCTGTCCAAGGCTCCACGAACGGGCCCTTCTGCTTGCAGTGGGATGGTTGCCATGGGCTTCCATTCGGAGTGGCAGCCGATTGATCGATGTTGTCAGGGCGAAGGGTCGAAATCCCATCCGAGCTGTGACAACCTGCTTTTGTGTAGTGTCTGTGACCTTGCAAAGGAGGAGCTATGGTAGTTCAAGCCTGCATGGTATGCTTTGGGTTTCGCAAGACACCCAGGACAAGGCAGCCTTGCCTGTCTTAGGGTTGTAGAAAGGCTAGTATTAAAGTCATACGCAGGAAAGCTATCGTACGCCTCTTTGCAATTGTCGAAGCCATTTGGGAAAGTATAGCAGCTACAGTCTCGTCGCAAGAAACCTTGCCAGATGCCAAATGTTTTTTGAATCTTTGTGCAGGGCATGGCAGCACGTCCGACATTGTGCTCGAGCAACAACGCTATCCAGAAGCCTGCGCAACCGCAATGCTTAGCCAGTAATTCGAAACCATGTGGAAAGCCGGCACAGGATCCGAATTGGGGATAAAACTGCAAGACCACAAAGACTCATCCACAGCTGCATGTGGCACGCAAAGCGCACAATGCTAGAAGCGGTAAAGCGAAGTTCCAAGAAACCGTAGGTTTCAAGGTCCTGTGCCGCAAACGGCATAAAGCCAACGCGAAAGTCACACAGATTTAGGCCTCTATGCCGCTGCCCCACACGCAGATGTCCCAAACCCAAACCGTCATCCTGAATCCGAAGCAGCAGCCATGCCCCTGAAACCGTCAACGCGACAGCTCGTAGCAGTAGTGGAGCCACACCACATTCTTCGTACAATCAACCTACAACCGGTGTACAGCATTGCAACTATTCCGGTCGCAGGTTTCGCGGGGTTCAATACCTAGGCCTCAACCCTCCAGCCACAGGGAGGGGGCCTTGTTGCTTATTACAGGGAGTTCGGGGATGCTATTGATAGATACAGTTTGCTAAAGAGTGTTCTAACTGTTTGGATTTTCATATAATTCAGTCACCTAGTTTCTGCCTACATGTGCCCAGTTGCAAGGCCATGTTGAGCCCCTGCAAATGCTCTGAAAACGACAAAGCCCCGCAGGCCACTGGCCTTCGAGCGATGGCCATACCGATCTTTCTGCATTGTTCTAAAGGGTCGCTCAAGGGCCTCAATTCCCAACAGCACCACTTGAGTTCACAAGCCGGAGGCAATGCAAAATGCGCATATATCACCGAAGTCAAGTCCCTCCAGCATAACTCCCAAACCCTATGACTACAACTCATTCCCAGTCTTATCCCCAGCACGGATCCGTATGTTAACTCTGCCGCCTCCAGGCTCCAGGTAAGATTCTCATTGAAAGGAGCAAAAAGCCCTAAACCCCCCAATTCCTTGAAGACGAAACCCTGAACCGTAAATACCCCATTGCCTGTAGCCGGTCGAGTTGATGAGCTCATCCGCCTCAGGCGGCCCGCGTGCCCCCTGCTCCTGCAGGACCAGTCTTTGGGGCTTCGAGTTGAGGCAGCAGGGTTTAGGAACCTGTACGGTTTGCCTGTAGCAGAAAAAGACCTAATTTCTTAGGGTTCCTTATGGTTTCTATGCATAGCTCCCAAAAAGGCAAATCTTTTCGGCTACAGGTGTGGCTTACAGTTCAAGAAGGTGGTGGGCTACTTATGTAGTGACTGGCCTAGACCTATAAAACCTTCGCATGGGAATTTCAGCGAGTAGGGGTTCCTAAGGCAGGCATATAAACCCTAAATAAGGACCCCTATATCTAAGAAACTTGCATAGACGAAGTTGAGGGGAAGGCATACGTCGGGACATACGTACGAAGGCGTGGGGATCGGCTCAGGGATACCTTGAGTGGTTTTTGTACCCTGGATGCAAAGGCTATTGCCATCGCTTAAGATACCTTAGTTTCCCCAGGTTATGGCAAACCTTGAGTCAAAAACCCTATAACTATACAGCCTAAACCCCCAAATCCTGTACCCCTAAACCTTGAATCGTCAACGACGATTTGCAAAGTTCACGAGCCCTGTAGGAGGGCACTTGGAGGATGAGGAGTTACGGGCTCAGAGGTAAGCTAAAGTCGTAGAGGATTGCAAGGTTTAGGCTACATTGTGTCCCCAGATATGATCAGGGGTTGCAGAGTTTCGAAGTTCAGGGCGGCGGATTTCGTTGTTTGGGTTTGAATGCTCAAAGGGCCGAGATGAAGCTCTCAGCGCGCATGTCCTGTATGAGAGTGCAATGCCATCCGAATCCCAAGCGACAGCCTAGATCCTAGTTGTGGGCTCTATATAGACTCTATAGCACGCAGGGTAGAGCCCACATCACCAACCCTATAACCAGACCTTCCAGCCCCAAAACTTTCGACCCTCGGAGAACTTGAGTTCGTCACCTCTACATCCCTGGGGCGCACGGTATGGCGTTTCAGGCTATGGGTGTCAAGACTTGACTGTGACTGCCGCCTGCCATGCATTTAACAATTCCTGCAAGCTCCAGCCTGTTTGGGTTTAGGGTTTTGAGGTTCACCCGGACCGCAAAAGTATCCAGAACAACAGTCTTTTATGGATGTTTTGCTATTATTCTACTTTGGGGGGCGGTTAGGTAGGGTTTCAGGACAGCCGGATGATCCCTCGATGCTTCCTATCATCGAGAAGCTAACTCGTTCAACCGTCGTTGTACATTTTTGGAGGCAGCTCTTTCCGTAAGAGTGGGTTTGCAAGGTTATCACCGTGTTGCAAGAACCACAGTTCAGGATAACTCGCATCTCAGGCGCCGGCATAGGGGAAAGGGTCTGGAGCATCAGATGTCTCGAGACCTCATTGCAGCCAACTGCTGCTTTCTGAACGAGGTTCTGTCTGCCTAAACCTGAAAAACACTTAAACATACGTCTTCGACCCAGAACTCCAGAACCTGGAACAAACCCCAAAGCCTAAGCCGTTGCAGCCTGAATGTCGAAAAGAGACGTCGACATGCAGGTAGACAGCGGATGGGTTTACGTCTCGCCTGATCTGCCACTTCCCTTTCAAGTCATCCTGATCCTAATGGCAATTGCCATGAGGGTGCAAGAATCTTTGCCATGGCAACTGAAATCAGAATTCCAGGCATCACAGCAAATACTGCGACCACAGCAAATACTGAATATCACAACGGTTCCTGAACATTGCCACCACGCCTGCTCCAGCATCGTGACCATGCCGTGACTAGTACTAGTTGCTGCGGCCCTTCTCACCCGAGCTCATGGCTCTTGAGAAGGGGATCGAAAATTCGCCAGCCCTCTTCCACCTGCGAGAGGGTGTCTGCATCGGTCGGGGTAGTGGTGCATTCCAAGCTGTCGGGGGGCTTTCGTAGAGGCTTGCTGCTACTGAGATGGCTTCTTTACAGGGAACCACCTTTGAAGAAGCCCCAAGTCTGCCTCTGTCCTTCTGGCATGCCTGCAGAAACACCTAGACCGGGAAGCGCCACAAGAATGCTATACTACTCCGAAATCACCAGGAGTCGAATAGTCAGGTTCAATGTTAGCTGATGCCTCATCTGCTCGCACGAAGTTGTGGCTGTCACCAATGATAACCTGAGCATGAAGCATTGCAGCTTTGCACACTTTACCCAACTGACAAATAGAATCCTCGTACCCTGTCGTATCTGCTATAAAGTTTTCCAACTTGAGCCCATGGGCTCTGCACCTTGTGACATGTGTTCTCACGCTACCCAGCTGATTCTCCCAATCACCCACCTCTTTCCTACTGGCCACATGGCTTTTGGAACTCCCAGCTTTCCACCTGGAATCTGAATTTAAACCCCAGGCCTTTGTGATGGATGTTGCCACACGGCATCACTGCGTCGAGTCTGAAACTCTACCAAACCCCATGCAGAATTAAGAACACCACAGAAAACCGGGAGAACCGGACAAAGGAACAGTGTGAACCGGGCCGATGGAGCCAAAGTTTTCAAACGGAAAGCTTCAGTGGCAAAAGAGGCAAGCCCTAAATCCTAACCTGCGGCTTCTCGAGTCGCCATGTTGCCCAGAAAAAACCCACCCTCACGACTCGAACATGGCAGGTACAGTAAGGAGGGTTTAGGATTGAGAGGAGATATGATAAGGACCCCTGAACATGTACCTCTTTGGAGTTCAGGCATTCTTGAAGGTCATCACACATCTGAAACCCTGAACTAATTTGCCATCGCCAAGCTCGTTCACAGCTTGTTCCGTGTATTCCTTGCAGGTTCCCAAACAAGAACCGAGTTTAGTCCCCAAAATGTAAGGCCCATGCCACTGGCCTTGGTGAGTTTTAGTTCGGCCCTCTGACAAACCTTGCTGTGAAAGTGTACAGCTTCGCGCACTTCTGAAATGCAAGTGGGGCCTGGACTCAGCGGTAAACGCCATCGGCATGTTCGACCCTTCACGTGATGCCTTGGTGGACTAAACCCAAAATTTGACCCAAAATGTTGCATTTGGGTCGAAACCAGCGACCGGGAATGCCATAAATCCAGATCCAGACACTCTACTTTGAAGCTACACCAACCATGATTCTCACCTTCCACGCAGAATACAGTACCGAAGCCCTGTCGAAAGTGAGGGCCCAACATCGTGGATGAGCTTCTCGTAGGCCTGCTCTGTGTGCTTCCGAGCTTTCGCTGGAGGACGTTCGGGGATTAATAGGCTTGCGGATGTTCGGGCTGTACTCCAAACGGTTCCCCGGCATGCCGGGAAACCATGAATCCGAAAGCTGGTGATTGAGACCAAAGATACTGGCCCGAGCGAGGCAATATCGAATCAATCGTGACTCCAAATTTCTGCCACAATCATCATTACTGCTAGAGCGAAGGGTCCTAGGATTGGATTGAGGGCCTGCAGTAGTAGATACATGTTGATATACTTAGCCCTGCCTGAATCCTAATCTCAAAGTTGGGAATCTCCGAAACCCTGGGTTCAGCGGTGAGTCTGGCTCTCCGGACCCCGAGCCTAAACCTTTGCGTTATTCCAATCACCAAGACGCCCAAAACGCCGGACATTACCTGAGAAGGAAGAGTCGCATGGAAACGCGTGTGGTACGGACTGGAGAC